CGCACACACACACACGTTCGTTACGTCGGTTAAACTGGTAGAATTGTATTGCCTTCAATTCACAGACTTCTATAAATAGACTGCCAACTTCGCCTCCATGTTTGAAGACAGCGCTGGGCAGCGCCATATTTGAGTTCTCTCACACATGTATAAATTACATGGATTAATTCACGCGATATTCATAGACAGGACGCATACATACGCATATGAGAACTAAAACAAAAACAGCTCGGAATCAGATTTATATCTTTCTATCACATTGAGTCAACAATCTATTTATATAATCTGTGCTTCGATTGAATAATTTCGTAATTTCTAAACACGTTTTCGATCCCGGAACAACGCGACATCTCGGATCGTTATCTCTCTCTCTCTCTCTCTCTCTCTCTCTCTCTCTCTCTCTCTCTCTCTCTCGTGAGATATTCTGTATAATACAAAATGTGGAAAACGAGCGATCGAAGATTTTCGAGGAACGCTTTCGGACGTACGTACGTACGTGCAAGCGAAATCTCATTGCGCGCAAATACATAATTAATCTTTATTTTAAGTATATCAAGGAACGAAGTAGTAACTATGCCCAGGAGAGAGATTACTATAAGGAGAGTACAGGACACGCGCTATTCTGCTCGTGCTACGTATATGGTTCGTGAAGAAATACTTTGGCAGACGTAAGTTGTCTTTGGTCGATCGTCGCCTTTATTTATATCTTGCCGTTGGTGCGCCATGTACGGCGAAATCACGCGATACAAACAGTCTCCTACGCATCAGGAAACGAAAACGTTTGGAACTTCTGGTTGAAGACCTGTCTGAAAGTCAGTATGTGACGAAGAAAAATCCGTGAAACGTGCTCCGATGTTTTCGAAGATGCTTCAAAAGCTCTCCCATCCTAAGCTTCTCTCCATCGTTTCTCCATCAGTGACTCGTTCGACTTGCAAGCTCACTGTCCACTTGCAAGCGTGTTTCTCCCACTCACAGTTTAAAACGTAAAATGGAACACCGTCGATACTGCACTAACGTGAGGAGACGCCCAGTAAAAACGCGCGCTGTATCTGCGAACGCATCAGAGGTGGGACTTGCAGAAGTTCGCGCGTGTTCCCTGTCAAAAGTACCGTCTAGCAGGTAAGGCCGGTCATGAGACTTCAGTGTTCGGCCCTGCGATCAGATCAATCATATGTATTTTCTCAAATTGTAATCATTTTCGATTGTAAATATAATAACAATCTGATATTTTAGATGCGTGATACACGAAGCGCGAGGGACGACACCGATATAAATGAATTTATTCGGACTACATTATCCAAGTGAAGTGATTGCTATTCAGCAATAAGCCGATTAAGGTATTCTGGAGAAACCGAGAGGAAAGTAGATACCTTTTTGAGATTCATTCTTCACGGCTTGAACGTATGCCGTTCATAGCGCTTCGTATTCGCCAACATATTCGATGCGACTGATGTCGTTTATTTGTACCTGGTCAGGAGGATTTCGTGGCAAACTCGTGCAATATGTCACATGCCATCTCGAGATCGTTCCTGGTGATGCCGAGTGCCCTGATCACGGCGTCCTGCGCGAAACCGAGCGCTGTCAGCCTTGTGATATGCTCGACATTGACATTCTCGTACGCCGCTGACTCTGGCTTGGTTACTGGTCCACCACCGCCACTACCACCGCCACCGCCACCCGGCTCATCCCTCGCTCTCATCAGTGCCGTGAGGCGTGCCCTGTTCGCCTCCAGGTTGATGTTCTTTACAACATGTTGACTCGTACCACAGATCACAATTGTGTTCTCATAATGATGGTCTTGACGGATGCCACCCTCCTTACTAGTCTTCGGTGGCCGTGGTGCCGACAAGGGCGGCGGTACGGGAGGCACGTTGTTACTTGGACCTCCAGTTTGACTCGTTGTTGAGCTGGTTGCAGTGACGCGACACGCCTTTTCTGGCAATGTCGGCGGTGGCTGCGATTGTCGTTGCGGGGTGCCTGCCGCGTGGGAACGTCGTGGATGAACCTTCACCGCTGTCGTTGGTGGCACAGGCGGTATCGGCGGCACCGACGACGGCGAAGATGCGCGGTGCAGCATGTCGTATCTTGCCTCTGTGTTAACTGAAAACACTCGACATTTTTATCTTGCCTTCAAAAAATGCCGAACATCACGACTTGACGCGATTTGTGCCTACATTGCAACAAATTGACACTTTCTCTACAATTCTTAATCCGAAAGTAGAGTTACCTGATTTTTTAAAATATAAATGATCATCTGAGATATTTTTTACTCCAGTTAAAATTGCTGTTATTAAGAATATATATATTTTATTGTTTTCCTATTTGTTAGTACTGAGAACATGTGGATTTAATCAAAATTTTCTGATGTGTAAGATATGTAAAGAAATCAAACAAATGTTAAGCAAAATATATATATATATGTTTTTAATAACTATTCTTTACAAACCTTTAAATATGCAACTTCATCGGAAATTCGTAATAAAAAAGCATTACATTAATGAAAATCTTTACTTTTTTAGCAGTTAAATAGCTTAAATAATTAAATAGCTTATTATGATAGTATTTCTAAAAAATAAAGCTTTTCATTAGTAGAACTTTTTTATTACGGGTTTTCAATAAAGTTGTATATATTTACAGGTTCGTAAAAAATAATTATTAAAAAAAATATACGTTAAACAATTAACCATGCAAAATAATATTTTATAACATTTCACATTTTTTTGTCGTTTAAAGTATAAAGATAGGTGATTATTTCCAGATCACACATATTGTCTCATTAAATTTATGTTATTACTTTTTAAAAAATCTGGATGTAATATTAATCTTGAGTTATTATAAATTAAAGAGATTATTTTACAAGATATTATTTAACAAAGCTTATGTTTATAAAAGTATTTTAGTTTGGCAAAAAGAGATGGAACTACGCCACAATTACTTCAGATAAATGTATTGTTTATCTATAGGTATAATATTTTTATTATGATCCGTTACTTTTAAACGATACAGATTAAACATTAAAAATTGTCCTGTGTACCTTTATTATTTTGCTGAGTGTTGTCCGTATAATTTAATATTACTGTGACCGCTGACGGTGGCGGCGGAGCATTTTCCTTCGGCACTGTTAGATGACGTCCGTTTCTGAGGTGATTGTTCGGTGTGGGTGATGGCGAGGGTCTCCTAGGTGGTAAAGGCGGACTTGGAACGATTCTCCGCGGCGGCACCGGCGAATTGGTGGGACTAGAATCATCTTCCTCGTCTGAGTCGTCACATATGAGACCGCAATTGCCATTGCATAGCTCCATTATGTCCTAAAACATCAGCAATAGGAAAAAAAAATGGTTAAACGCTGAATTCCGTCATATGACTCAAACAGTACTTACGTTTATACACACACACACACACACACACACACACACACACGCACAAAGTTACTGAATTAAATAACTTGACAATCCTAATTATCTCTATTATAAATGGAATGATTTAAAAGTTGTTATATAAAAATAACAATTTTAATAGTACGCTATAATTATATTTTACAGATATCTCTGAATCAAATTATCTAAGAGAACAGAATTTAGATCATTCCACTATCAATACAAAAATATCAATCAAAAAGTTCATGCTTTATTTTATATATCACAAAAGAAAATTGCCGGTAAGATGAAACTGACTTTCGTATGAAGAATAAAATAGAAAGAATTTGTGTAAATGTAAGGTCTCAAATCTAGGTAACACGCAATTTAGGTGAGATTGCTTAACGTTTATAAATTACTTTCTTATACAAATGTTTTTAAATCTCTTTTGTAACAATAGTATTATCTCTATTATCAATTTTAAATCATCCTGCATACAACGCTTTATCTTTTCCAGCAACGTTAGATTAGACTATTTCAATTTTTAAATAAGAAGACATGAAAAATTGTGAAAGAACAAGCATGATGATTATGATCATGTGGAGATTCCGCGAGAAATGACAATTATACCACCTATTTTATTTCCAACAGAGAGAATGTATACGATTATTCTCCGCAAGGTGACCTCCTCTAGTTAAATCTTTCTGAAGAGTTCGTCGAAGCAAATAAAGCGATGAATCATCTGCTGCCTTGAAGCTGTAGCGGTCGGTCAATTATTTATACTTTTATCTTTTGCAAAATGTTAGCATTTGAACCGTTGATTCTTTTTACAAGGAAAATAATCCGCTTGCAAAAGAGAGAAGTTGTATAAGTACTGGCTGTGATGGTCTACGAAGATACAAAACAAAACATCTTTTACGCGTAATCATTCAAGAAACAATCTAAATCGCAAAAAGAATCATTTCACTATTTCAATGACAAGTAATTTCTCTGTGGCGTTACTCATCACGCGAGAGGAAAAGTTTTTTCATCACGAATGATGCGGAAATGTCGTCGAATGCCGTTAATCTTTTCTTCCACTCGATGCAACCATCATGAATAAAGTGCGAGTAACGTCACGAGTCAAAAATATGAGCGTAATTACAAAGCGTAGAAGCAGACGGCCATAATGCATATTGTCACTTACCTGTGACTGCGCGCGACTATTGTACGACTTCCTCTCCGTCAGACATGTACATTACCGATTAGTTTAGATCATGCAGCGGGTAGTAGAGCAATGTGACCCCAGTGTGTGGATAACATTATGAAATAAAAGTAAACGATCATGCGAACGATATATAATAAAGTCATCGTATTCTCGTCTGGAGGGTTCTCCCTGTTGCCGGAGGGGCAACTTGGCATCGCCGTAATAACGAAACTAGAGAATCTAGCATAAGGGATGTTGCGTGGCGCATACACGAAGTGCAGAAGTAACTCGAAGTAAATGGCAATACAATTTTATTATAAAAAAATTATTCTGAAGTCCCTAATATTTTACAATGAATAATACGCTTCTCAGTGATCATATGCTAAAGTTACGTTTACGAGAATTGGTCCGATCTTACGCGATACACATACAAGAAGGCTCCGCAATTAGTAATAGCGAACGCTTCTCACCGAATCGCTAATAACTAAAGCGTGAATGGGTTCTATGTGATTGTAATACAATCTAAAATAGCCGGGTAAAGCTTAACAAGGTCTAAACTGACAATCCGCCGATAATTGTGCCAGAGAATCGAATCGATTCCTTGCTTACACCGCAATGGGCTCAGTTGCATGCATTACAAAACTTTACAGATGTCTTGCATTAAAAACATACGTGTGATACCACAGCATTTGATTCAGCGCGCGACGATTGCGGTATATCGAAATCGTCTTTCTTGTCTATTTTTTTTTCTTTCGATACAGTACACATAAATAATAAATTAATATTTTAACGTAAGGAAATAATATATAATAACGCTGAAAACGAACCGTCGTTTCCATAATGATGACGTTGACATGATATTACATTCGAGTCTACCGCCAGCAGGTACACAATACATCTTAACAAGATATATAACGATAGTGAATGGTTTTTCGAGTCGGCTGTTCAGTGCATGCTACTTTGTTTGATCATCGCATATTATTTTTTCTCGTGTCTCTTATTGTGAACGCTTAAAGCTACATTTAAAGACTTAATAGTACATATCTTTTCTTTCAAATATGAGTCATAGAGCTTTCGTTCTTTATAAAATAATCATTTGTTTGTCACAACACTTGAAGATGTAGAAGTGCGGTAAACATTTAAATAGATCTTGTAACTGTTGAAAAATAATGAGATGAAATAAATGATTTAATATGTAATTCGAAATAGATTGTAGTTTGTCAATCGTTAACGACAGTATCATTAATTAACAGTATACTTTAAATAATAAAAATTAAATTTACTAATTTTCACACAATTGTACATAATTAAAATTATTTAGCAGTATGCAAGTAATATCAATTTCTTAGCTTAATCATTCCAAATTTTCGAAAGAAAAATGCTTCTAAATATCGTGCTTGTCCGTTTTGCAATCTATCGAGCAGGTGAAAATTACAAATGCAACTTCAGAGTGTGATTATATTCAAAGTTTTGCTCGTGGAATCCATTCCATTTTGTAGGACTTTTTTGTGCTTCGTATATGTGGATTTATGTATAAATCACATGTAATTATTTATAAACTGTATAATATTATGCATAAATAATATACACAAAGATTTATCACAGGCATCAAAATTGTCTGTATGCATATACTTAAAAAAAAAAGAGCGCTTTTAAAATACGCATATGCACATGCATTATGAATTATGTGAATTGAAAAACTTTTGCGAAATAAGTAAATGTAATCCACTTTGTAATTGGATGCGAAACGATACTGCCTAATACATTTCTCTCCGGAGAATTCCTTATCGAATCTCTTGGCTCAGCGTATGTTAAACAAAATCGTTCGGAAGCTATGATTGCGTATGCACAGTCATAAATAACAGCGAAAATGGGCCCGGCTAGATATAGAATAAGGGACCGGCTTTCAATGAGATACACAAAAAAAGCGAGCCTTACCTGAGAGCTCCCGCGTAACTGATGAAATTTATAATTATTCGATATAGACGATTTCAAAACGTGTTAGTTGCGCGATAGATAAGACTAACCGTTCGGCTAATGATTGAGCAATCACTCCATCGGTTTGTCCGTAATTTTGTAAACATAAAAAAAAAAGGAAAGAACAACGAACTCTATAGAATCATATAGCTATCCTCTTGGTCCCGGAAGAAGAACAATGCAAGTAGTGTCACTGATACGTATTACATGCCTAAAATTACTACCGCGTACCCGCCACGAGGTACGGCATACAATCGTGATGACGAACGTACGAAATGACATGACACGCGTACACGATCGTAGAGATAAACCGCGAGGTCTCGTGTGAAATGTATGAGGCATTCTCGAGAATGAGGCATACTCTCTGCGATGAGGGAGGGATGTTGTTATACATAGAACACATTTAATAATGAAGGTGCTATTCCTAGTCGGATACCTCGGTGTCGGGGTCGAGATCCCGCGTGGGAGTCGATGCATTACTAGCAGACGCCGAATGCGCCCCGGGTCTGTGAGTTCTTCGCGGGTCGAACGGATCTACGACGATCTGCTCGGTGCCTTTAATCTCAGCTCGACAAAACGGACAACCTTGTCCCTCGGAATCCTGTAAACAACCGATACAACGTTAACGGATATATATTTTTTTTTCTCTGCTGTCGTAATGAAATAACGTAAGATATTTTTATCGCAATATGTTATACATCTAGGTGTAAAGTTAAATCGAAATTTAAATTATATAGAAACATTTATTGATCGCTGAGAAGGCAATAAAACACAAGAGGATTATATACTGCTACCTGCCAAGCTGTAAGGCATGGAGTACAGAGAAGATGACCGCAAGGTTCTATCCTTACATCCTTGTCATGCTCGGCGCAGATCTTACACAACTGAAATGTGCTACCCATTTCGCAATATAATTCATATTGTTCCGCCGTCACTTTGATATGCTCCTCTGGTGTTGGTTGCACCGCCCATGTCAAGTCTGGATTTATATTTCGACCGTCCGGATATAAGTAGCTGCAAATCGATCTTCGAATATGTATTCGTGAAATCTTTATGGATGTAAACCTGGATAGGTAAACGCATAAACTAGGCCGGTACTCAACGGTATACTCACAAGCCTTCCCGGTAGCCGTCCAATAACGCTTGGCATAGACTCTTGTTGTGTGGTATAGTTTGTAAAATATCACCGTCAGATGTGACGTAACCAATTGCCCATTGTCCCAGCCTCGTACAACTTAACCGAAATACATAACTCCCAGGCTTGGTAATGCAATATTTTTGCAAACGGGCTTTCACCTCGTCGTACGTAAGGAAAGCCACGTAGCCAGGATGCGTCACAGCCAGAATTTTCCAGTTGCGCAGAAGGGTCGACCACGGTTGAAACAACCTTGAAAGTCGTATAACATGTATAATATATCCAAGATATATTACAAGAATGACCCGGAATCATCGTGACAGAAGCTTGGTAAAGTTAATTATATATAGTTGTCTATAATTTCTTAATACTTACCTTGTGAATACGTCAAATTCAAAGTTGGAGATATAATCATTGCACGTCAAATCTATCGTGGATTTCAGGGCCATTGCTTGCAATCCCGTGCTGATCGGATGAACTTGATTCAATTCGTGTCTGAACACCTTCCACGGTACTAATGTACTGAAAAGAAATTAATGAAAGATAAAAAAATTATTTTCTTTTTTCTTTTTATAGATAATGTTAAATCATCTATAATATATGAATAATTTTTAAATATTAAAAACCTTAAAGTAATGTGTATTACTTTTTATGTCAAATTGGTTTTTACGTATATACTAAATTGCTGCTAAAAGTTTGTCAATTTGTTAAAAACAAAATCAGAAACAAAATTTCAACACAAAATTGGAGTAAAACTGTACTATACGCAAAAGTATACTCTCGCATTCATTTTATAAGACTCTTTTCAGAGAAATTAGTTTTTTTTTTAGTTTTAATGGAAAATTTGAAGGAAAAAGATGAATTTTTTTATACGTTTTAACAGTATGTACAACTATACAGCTTATATATAGGTGTTCTTCGAGTCGATTTCCACAGTTTTTGAGATACTTCCGATGGATTGATAACACAATTTTTAACAAAATTTCTAATAAAGAATTAATTATGTAAGAACAATTTTAAAAATTTGTTCATTTTTTAATAATAAGTCAAAGTTAAATTATGTTTTTTAAATGGCACCATACATTTTTCTTTCTATGTTCTTCATTGTAGTATATAAAAAGAGAAGTTTCTTGATACGGTATCATGTATCATTTTTTTTATTCGATCTCAAGATAATTAAATTAACACAACATAATCCATGAATATATCGTAGATACAGCAGTGAGATGCAAACATAAAACTTTGCAGTTTAGTTGAATCTACACGCGTAACAATTGAAAAGATCTTCTATTCTATTCTATCGAAAAGAATGGAACTTTGTGCTGCGGAAAGTGAGTTTGAACATTTACTTTAATAAATTTATATTGTATAGGTACTTAATTAAAACACTCAATACACGTTCGATAACATCGAATAAACGTACTTCATCTTTTACATGTTTCAATTACTCTTTATGTATTTTAATGACTACTAATTCTGTGTATTTAAACTTTCGTTAGAAACATTTTGTTGTCAATTAATCGGAAATATCTCCAAAATTGTGGCGATTGAAGGAATACTTTGTATATCACTTCCTTACTTCAAAGTTAAAAAATAACAACTAAAAAAATCTGATTTTCAAGTTAAATTAACATTGCTCAATCATCAAAAGTGAATTAACTTAATTTCATTAAAAAATTGTCAAAATTATTATAATTAAAAAAGAGTGATTAAAAAAAACATTACAATCCAAAAAGAGTGATTTTAAAAAAATCATAAGAATTGTGTGTGTGTGTGTGTGTGTGTGTGTGTGTGTGTGTGTGTGTGTGTGTGTGTGTGTCACAACCCAAAAAAGGTGATTTTTTTTTAAAGGTTGTAAAACAAAAATATTAAACAAAAAAGACGGGCAATTAAGAAGAAGTTCAGCTTTAAAACAAGGTATAATAGTTGACGATGCTACCAATATAATCTTAAAACATAGTAGTGAAAGATGTCATTCGAAAAGCAGCATTTAAAGCATTATTTTTTTTTCACATTTCAACTGAAGAAAAATGCCGGCTAAGAAAATGATTTGCCTTAAGTGAAAATGCTCTGTCTTATAGTACGTGTAAAAAGTGGTTTTAAAAGTTTCGGGATGGCAATTTCAATCTCTAAAATGAAGAACGCCCTGGACAACAACAAAAAATTGTAGGTCCCATATGCTTGTGGCAATTATTGAATAACCAGCGCACCACAAGCATGTATAAAAGTATAACACAGGTCAGAGGCCTAACGTAAGAAGAAGAAGAAAAAGAAGAAGAAGAAGAACATATTTTTGTTAAAAAGACCGAAAATTAAGTTGTACATCTAACATATTAACTTTAATCTCGGTTTAATTTATTTTTTTTTTAAATTTTTTCTAATTCTTAGAACTAGAAAAAGAATGAAAAATTAGTTGAACCGAGAAAATTAAATTACATTGGTTATAGAAATGAGTATATGACCGTTTCTATCAATATAGTTTAATTTAAATTTCAGTTCAATTAACTCTTCATCCTTTTCTCTAGTTTTAAGAATTAGAAAAAGATAAAGAGTAAATTGAACTAAAATTAAAGTTAATCTACATTGGTAGAAACAGGCATTAGAAGAATAAGTTCAATCGAGATTAAAATTAATAAAAATTTGTAAGTCTACAACTGACAGAAATGAGCATGATTAAAGTTAAGAGAAATTTGGTCAAATTCGAAGGTTTCGAAATGCCTTGATCCGCCACTGACGTCCAGGTACTTGCGCACTGACGCACATGCGCGTTAAAAACCGTTCGCGTGACGCGTCTCCGACAGTCCGACATGACACGATGATCAGTACAAAATAGCGACTCCCAGCGATTGGTTCGTGTGACATCTTCGGCGCTTATTCGAAGCTCGTTTTTTTGCGTTTCTCAGCGGTAAGGGATATAACTCGATCCGTCTTGATGGCACGCGAGGTTTGATCGGTGTGGTGCGTTTCGAGAATCGTCGGAAAATCTCGTAGAAATATCATCGAGACATCAGGCGTAAAATTAGGCGTAGATTCTTCGCTAGGCGCATTCATCGATCGATTATCCCCGCGAGGTTGAACCGGTACACGATAGATGGCCACGATCGCGAAATCCGTAGAGTTCCTATAATAACTTGTAAAAACTCTAGAATTCTCCGCACGTGCACGATGTCGATACTCACAATTACATCCGAATCACACAATTAGGGATGAAAGAATAAATTTATTCAAATAACCGATTTAAAAAAAAAGATCTTTTTATAATATATCTCAAAAATATGAATGATCCATTCATTTGTAATTTTCTTCTATATATGTATGTATGTATATATATATATATAGCTGATTAATTTTTAACTGACAAAATGTAAAGGTGACTTTGATCAAAGTTTTATTTTCTTAACTTAATTGATGATTAGCTCATCAATGTTTATAGCAAATTTTTAACTAATATATTGTACACTTTGTCATTTTTAATCTATTCTCTCTTTTCATTCTAAATTAAGTAAAAAAAAATAGCAATTTTGTTCTGATTGACAAAATGTTAATATTTTTTTTATTAAAACTCGATTAAATTAATCGCAGTTTGATCGCGGTTTGAATTTCACCCTATAGGCTTTAAATATAATGAATAAGAAATAGAGTTAAACAGACAGAATTAGAAACAGGAAATATATTTCAACATATAGAAAACCATGCTTCAATCCACAATAGATGAATAAAGATGAGTATATTCGCCATATATTCTAGAGGAATAAAATTTAATAATATCAAATGAAAAATCGATATAGGGATTAATTGAATTTAAGAACATCGGTAAATTAATTGATTTCTTAACAATATAAACAACAATCAATATCGATTAATCAATGAGAATTTTTTTTACTCATCCTTAGTTGAGGATATGTAACATTAGTGTGACTTTTGACAGGATAAATTAAATTTGGACGTAACAATATGACTTTGCAATCAAATAGAATCCTGCTCCGATTTTTATTATAGGAAAATATATCCAGCCATATCCCTAAGTGTTTCGATACTAAATATTGTATTATACGTATATTAAAAGAGACAAAAGTTCTTAATTTGAATATTGAATCAGAACGGAATATAGTAGTAGGAATATGCAGGTATATACAGGCTGGCCCATGTAAAGTGTTACAAGCTATTATCTCTGAAAGTGTGTGTCAAATGACAAATATGTTCAGACAAAAATTTTATGACTTTGAGAAGAGCGTAAGACATAAGGTGGTACCATTTGTTTGACCTTGGGTGGCGTTGTCAAAGTGAGAGCAAGGCCACTTTGAATTTTTTAAATGGAACCCCCATTTTTTTATTAAATTTTCTTGTAGCTTACCTCAAGAGCTTTTCAAAACACTATAATAAAATATTTTTTCATTAAGTTAATTTTTCGAGTTATAAGGCTCAAAAGAGCCTTACAGTACAGTCGGTATTAGCATTACGCAAGTTGTCCGACCGACGGTTAAAACCTCTTGAATGTTGTTTAGGATTATGTCCTGGATAACATTTTATCAAGATCAAGGCCATTGGAGGTTGTACCTGTTACTAGTATTTTCATTTTTACGTAAAAATGAAAATACTAGTAACAGGTACAACCTCCAATGGCCTTGATCTTGATAAAATGTTATCCAGGACATAATCCTAAACAACATTCAAGAGGTTTTAGCCGTCGGTCGGACACCTTGTGTAATGCTAATGCCGACAATATTGTAACTTTCAAGCCTCATAACTCGAAAAGTACTTAATGAAAATGAACTTAATTATAGTGTTTTGGAAAGCTCTCCAGGTAAGCTACAAGAATATGTAATGAAAAATGGGGAGTTCCATTTAAAAAATTCAAAGTGGCCTTGCTCTCACTTTGACAACGCTACCCAAGGTCAAACAAATGGTACCATCTTATGCTCTCCTCAAAGTCATAAAACTTTTGTCTGAACATATTAGTCGTTTGACACACACTTTTAGAGATAATAGCTTGTAATACTTTACATGGGCCACCCTGTACATATAGCTATAGAAATCTTCATTGTAAATTCAGTAGATGACAAATGTCCACTGTTCAATGTTTTACCGTCGATCTATCCCTATTGTCTCATTTTACATAGAGGAATTGCACAGTCATTTTGTTTCAATGGTAACTCGTACGTCCATTCAGACACAATCGTACCGTTTTACGATTTGCTTACATACCACGACGGTTTTATGCAATATTTCCAAACCCGATCATTACGTTATACGACGAATTATTTAGCCTAATTGTTTGGTAAAATCGCTAACGGAATCAAAAACTTTTGTTACAATTACTTACAATTTATTATGGTGATGTGTATCTATACAGTGTATCCCGAAATTCGAGGACAATATTATTACAGTGTCTCACTATAAATGCTCACTATAAATGCTCACTATAAAATCTTACTATAAATGCTTTGAAGCGTTTGATTGATCAATTAAACGAAAGAATTTTACGAATTGACCAGTCAAAAACGGCATTTTTAGAGCATTTG